ACAGTACATACATAAAACATTAAGACTGTGGAGATATGTAAAAAATAAACAGAATTTGCCTAAGCACTATACGGGAGACCTATGGGATACCTATATGTATGCATTTATGTATAAAAAATGTCAAAAATGGCCATAAAAAACCCAGGAGAGAGATTTCATATTTTTATTAAGCATTTAAGCATGATTTATCCTGGTGCTGGAAAAACACCGATTTGGAAAGAACCCGAGACTGTTCCTGCTGCTCCATCAACTAATATTGTATTAAGAAAAAAGGTAAAAAGGAAATAGAAAATAAAGGCAAGAAATCAGATAAAATCGGTAAAAGGATGAGAAAAAAAAGTATTTCATCATGTACTGCTGAATCAACCTCGTCAGAAAGAAAACGTTAAAAGGAAAATGTAAACTATTAAAGTGAGTAATTTATTTTTCGTTATTTCAAATAAATGTTAGAGAACAATTTATCAATTATCATAAAAACTAATTTTTTAAAAATATTAGTTCGTACGTATTTGTTCCAGTCGACATCTTGCTTGCACATACGCGTGCGCCAACAAGATGGAGACCGGAAGCGCCGCCATATTTCGCTACCATAGGTAACATTAACCAATATATATATAGATTTATTATATATATTACAAAGAAAGTATGGCGATCGGTCAAAAGATGACCCACCAAGACTTTTACATTTTTGGACTCGGGACCTTGAAACGTCGAGAAATTTAAAAATTTCGGGATGTTTTCTTGTTTATATAGATGTGTATGTGTAAGGGGGTCCGATTTTGTTCACCCATTTTGAAGCTTAATAACTCCTGTGCCTTTTGTCGAAGGCCCGCCAGTGGCCGAGTGGATAAAACCACTGAACATTGTTATTAGTTACAAGTAATGCATTTTTTGTAACTAATATCAATAAAGTCTAAATTCATTCATATTTCTCCTAATTTCCTGTATGATAAGTCCGTAAAAAGGCGATATCATATGCTTGAAATTGATTCCTGATGTTTCTTCATACTACTTTGGTAATATCTTCCTATTTTAGTCTATTCCTGTGAGTCCTCCCATAAGGATATGTCTGACGCTATTAAGAAATTTGTTTTCCTTCTGGTGTTCCTGTCCAATTTTATATCTTCTACGGGTTGTTTCAATATCATTGCGATTTTCAATGTGTCCATTCAAGTCACCTCCTATCGACATTCTTTCCGTTGCTGCTAATACTGTATTTGTATCTCATCCTCCATCAAATTCCAGAAATCATCCTTTTCTTCATTTCTGTATCCAGCTTGGGGTGCTTATGAATTGATCCAATTAGTTCCATTCCAAGTTTCGTTTTAATTAATCAGTCTACGGCATACCTGTTACAAATTTTTTTTCCGAAGATACAACATCGAGTTCCCTGCTTGCTAGCTCCACTATAAAACATCTTATAACCGTCTAGTTTCTTTGCCTCACCTCCTTTCCATTTAGTTTTCTAGGTGCAAAGTATATCCAATCTTCGCTTTCCCTCCGTCTGCAACTTTTCTTGTAAAAAACTTTATTACAAAATATAATTCAGCTGCAAAGCTTAAAAGGACGGATAAAATGTACTTAACAGAAATCTACTGCAAAAACAGTTTGATCTAGTTAACATGCTATCTAAATATATAAAATTGCTTGTCCTGACTGACTGACTGAATGAATGATTCACTCACTCACTGATTCATCATCGGCCAGAGCAGACCGCTTAACGTAAAGAGGTGAAATTTGGTAGACAGTTAGGGTACGTTATGGAAACGCACACTAAGAAGGGATTTTTCGAAATTCCTCCGCGGAGGGAGAGGATTAAGGCTTAACCGGAAGAACGGCTTCTACTGTACTATTTTAGATGCNACGCACACTAAGAAGGGATTTTTCGAAATTCCTCCGCGGAGGGAGAGGATTAAGGCTTAACCGGAAGAACGGCTTCTACTGTACTATTTTAGATGCTATTTTTTGTTTTCAACTGCGTTTTAGTAGGGTATTCCATGGCAATGCACACTAAGAAGGGATTTTTTGAAATTCCCCCGCAGGCGGGAGAGGGAGAGGATTTAGTCTTCATCGAGTACTTAGGTGTATTAAGATTAATAACATTTCAGACATTGTTATAAATATTTTTATCTATTTCGATTTTAAAAATGTTCGAACCGTTTTAAATTCGAATTTGTTATTGCATATTGGTCTGATTATAGAACGATTGTAAACGTTCCAGAAAATTGATCAAATTGAAAATAGTTCATTTGATTCTCGGCAATTCTCATCATTCTCAGCGGTAGGTGTTATATAACAATTACTATGGTTGTTGAAATACTGAATATAAATGGGGTTTGCTTGCAAAATCCGCGCGGGCAAAGCAGCGAGTAACAGCTAGTTAAATATAATTAGGATCTCGCAGAATCTAAATCCAGTTAAGCTAACAATATATTTACAGTCGACCCCCCTATAACACGGTAGATACGTTCCGTTCTTTATGAAATTGATGTTCTACGAGTCCTTGAATACATGAGCCAATCACAGCCCGGCACGTATGCAGTTTACGGACTACGGCTGTTTGAAAAGTTTCTTCCATCAAATTAATCGATTCTAGACTAATTCGACTCAACATTTCCAAAATACGTATGATTTTTTGGGAATAATCTATATAAACTATGCTATAAACAAAAAATTGTACGATTACTTAGGGTGTTCACCGTTCGCTGACGCCATTGCTTAAGCTTGTTTTCGTCGTGGAGCGGCGCATCGAATGGCGCTCGCGTGCTTCCTGATAAATTTTTTTTTTTGCGAAAAATTCGCTGAACTTTGGAGACATCATTAATATAAATATAATTTTTATGGACGTTAAAAAATAAATGGTTTTTACTAGGTCCTCTGCTCGTTTAAACTCAACGGTTTGTACAATATTCGCTATTGGTCTACATTCGACCAATCCTGTCGCGACACGAGTCGGCGATGACGTTTTACCGAATTATACGAGTTTCTTTTAGCGTGTTTGTATGAATATTGTCGCAATTTTTTCCCCGTCATATAGGAATCCGAACTATATGAACCCGTGTTATAGGGGGGTCGATTGTATATAATTTAATCCTTATGCGTGATTACGTGAAATGCCCACCTCTGAGCGCCGGTAGTTGCTGTGGGTTCGCGCCTCGCCAACGGTCTGGCCAAGTGGAGTTTTCTAATACCTAAATAGGGACCAGGGGCCGTATTCTAGTCGTCTCTGTCGTCTTTGTTTACACCTCGAGAGATCATCACGTCTCTCCAAACGCGATTCTGGACGACTTTTTCTCACGAAGATTGTCTTGTCTCTGAGACGAGCGGATAGTTGTCTATCGCCTCGATTATATACAATATGGACGACTATGTATGCTATTCGCGCTGTACAATCGCGAACGTTCTGTATCTCGGAAAAGAATATTTCGAGAGAGAAAAAAATGCTTCTGATTTTTTCCAGTACCTACTGGGAACGTCACTGATTCCATTTTTTTTTTTTTTTTTAAATTATCCTACATCAATTACTGAACTATTGAATATGACGTTAATCTTATCTGTCTCTCTAAGTATTTTTCGAAATATTACTATCTAATTTCTCCCTAAGTACGCACGCTTTTCTAACTTAGGTTATTAAAATTTTTATTTCTTAAGAGAGAATTTGACATCATTACAATCTGTAATAACGTTATAAAACAAAAAACAACAATAATAATACAGTAGAGCATCGATTATCCGACCCTCGATTAACCGTCACATCGGTTAACCGACCGTTCTAGTCGGCAAATTCAAATGTCCGCTAGTGATGTGACGCTATAATATTTGGTTATGCCTTGGCTACTTTAATAGTACTTTTACGTGTTTTAGCTGGCAATAGTGGCTCGCCATGAAAGGGAGCCAGTATTTAAACGAGGCTTAATTTTCTAATTTTTAACGATACAATAGCGANAAATGTCCGCTAGTGATGTGACGCTATAATATTTGGTTATGCCTTGGCTACTTTAATAGTACTTTTACGTGTTTTAGCTGGCAATAGTGGCTCGCCATGAAAGGGAGCCAGTATTTAAACGAGGCTTAATTTTCTAATTTTTAACGATACAATAGCGACGATTATTATTTTTAAAAATTTTTGTTAAGCTTAACATCGATGAAAATTCAACGCGAAGTAGGTTAACGATATACTAATTACCAGTGCCGTAACTAGGCAGGTGCAACAGGTGCACCCGCACAGGGCCCACTTGGAAGAGGAGCCCAAAATGCATGTATTTGTTTTATTACTTTCCCAAACCTAATTAATTAATTTAAGGGGCCTAAATGCAAATTCCTGCACAGGGCACAGGAATGGCTAGTTATGGCACTGAAAGTATCGATTGGGGAGTCATCCAAAACCTCAGTTATTTGTTTCGCAAAGTTTTTCTTCAAGAGTTTTCTGTATTCTTCTGCATATATATACATTTTCTGATCGTTTCGTCGAGCTGTCTCGAACGGCGTTTCTTTTTTTCCGGATCGAGTGTTTTTTCCAGAGCTAGGGTGTTCCGGAAATTTGCTACTTCTGGCTGCTTGTCTTCTGACTTATCGTTTTATTTGGCTTTTTATCCCCTGTATCGTGGTAATTTCCGATTTCCTTTGTCTTTATTACTCTTGGTTTTTCGCCACCGTTAAGGCTTAACGTGAAGAATAAGGCTTCTACTATTCTATTTGAAATGTCTTTTTTGCATTTATGCAAGAAATCGAACATATTTTTAGACCCTTCTAAAAATTCTCAATGATATTTAGCGTTCCATCGTATACAAAGTTTACAAGGGGAGCGCATGCACATAAGTTGGCTTTATTCGAACTCTTCGTCTTAATGGTCGATTTTATGTTTATATCATTTGGGAAGATCCAGCATATTTTTCGTAACGTTTTCGTAACCCCTTTTGGGTTCTTTTTATAACTGAAAAAGAATCCAAAAGGGGTTACGAAAACGTTTGTTATTCATCACGCAGCGGTTGTAACGATAATTAAGGCTGTCAACCTTAATTATCGTTATCCCAGTGAGGTAAGCAGATAGCTAAAAATTTTATACACTTAGTATCGAAACCTAATTGTTGCACTCTGTGAAAACAGGTAAGATCGGCTATAATCTAATAACCTTAATCTTTGCTACCGTTACTTTTTTCCCGAGCAACGCTGGGCTCATCTGCTGGTTCACAATAACAGTATTAGGAACACCCCCGAACCTCAAGTATTTATGGGTCGTCATTGATCAATGCCTCACGTGGCCTGGCCGAACCCGTAACAGGCTTTGTAAATAAAGAGGCCCTCTTAGTGCCCAGAAAACCGAGTAAAAAAATAAATAAATAAAACCCTCGGAGTGGCATGTGTGCCTTTGCCACTTTAACTGTTTCTCTAAAATCATCCTTTCTTAAAAGGAATGCGCTTACAAAAGAACAGAAAAAGATTAGATCTGCAGAAACTGTTTTATTTTTGCAAACATTATGTTTTTACAAATTACATAAGTTTTATTCTTTATCGAGGCATTTTTAAACAGACTTTTAATAACATTTATATAGGTCCAAACACATATTTTAATGTGTGCGAGAGCTCTCGACTATCGCTTGGATGCCTTAATTAGGCCGTAACAATTACTATTAATGTTTTACAAATATAAATATACAACAATTTATAATTGAGATTAAAATTATTAATTAATATATTAATAATCAATTAATTTATCAAACGTTTTATGTATAAAAAATTTGTTTTGCAATTAATCCTTTTACTAGTGTCTGAATAACAAATATCAATTTGTTGAGCGTGTCGTTCCAATAACAAATTAAAACACAATTCCGGAGAGTCCAAGTTCCAGGGATGACAAAAATTGGGAGTCAAATTTGAGCACAGACACAAGCCGGAAGAGTCCAAATTCCAATATAGACAGGATTCTGAAGTCAAATTCGAGATAGACGTAATTCGGGAGAGTCCATATTCGAGTGCAGACACCATTCATGAGTCAAATCCGGGGTTGACATAATTCGGGAGAGTCCAATTCGAGTACAGGCACAATTGAGGAGTCAAATTCGGGGTAGACGTAATTCGGGAGAGTCCAGATTCGTGAAGTAGACATAAATCGAGAGTCCAAATTCGTGTAGACCAATTCGGGTAAATGATAATTGACTAAAAGACAATAATAAGGAGACACAGCCGGGATAAAGTCAAAATTGGGAAGTCATAATCGAACTTGGCATTGACGCAATCGGGATGTCAAAATCAGGAGAAGTCATCGATGGTTTGCAGAAAAAACCATATCTAAAAGTGAATGAAAAACCAATATTTTAATTTTTACTTATAAATTGAAAATTATTTTTGCAATTTTTAGGAGCTTTTTAGATTTTATTTATTAATTTTTAAACTTTATCATTTCTTTTTGTTATTTTTTGAATATTTTTAAATGAAAACAAAATTAAGAATATTATTTCCTTTTAAAATGGAAATAAAGTTACGTGCCAAATGATATTGCTTACCGCAATTAATTGCATACTGCCACGTGTCATGTATGTATCAAATATGTCATTGTCGATTCTATTATTTTAACATGTTCCCGTCCGCGTAATCACGTAAGATTACTGGATAATTTAATTTCTACGTTCATTTATACCATTGCTTTCGCTGTGTCAAGAGACCAGCAACTTATACCCAGGAGGTATTATTGTGAGTACCTGGACAGGAATATGCCCGATACCCTAAAAACGTGACTTTTCTGTAATCGCATCGAAATCGATCGCATCAAAATATACTGTAATACATTTCCACGCTAATACTGTACATAAATGTTTCCATTTTTTCTGTTGTCCGGCCATTAATTGCGGATTATTATGAAATCGCGGTTAGATATTGTGTCAATTTATAAACCCAGACCGTAAAATCTCCCAAGTGTTTGGTGTAGAATACAATAAAGTTGCCATACATACACACTTACAATTAGCCAACTCGGCCTAGATCCAGCAAATCACAGAGCAGATCTTATTGTCGAATTTGACATATGGAAGCAAAGAGATCCTTACTCGAACCTAACGTACTCGCATTCTTCACTTCTGGCCATTTTACACATCTTCACGGATCTAAATGTAGAAAAAGAAGTATAATTATTCATGGAAAACGTATAACTCCATTTGAATTCCATTAAAACATATTGCGGCGCTGTATCGATGGGCTGTAAATGTTGGCCTACAAAGAATGAAAGTTGGATTATGAAATTTTGTACAATTCATTGGTTCGGTGACGTTTTGAATTCAACTTTTCATCCAATCAGTAATGACACATACGAATAGGCCGATACAGCGCCGAACAATACGGGAAAGTTATGCAATTCGCAAACATTTCCAACTCAAATCTTAATGCTATAAAAAATTTTGGCGTAATCGATACTTGGGCTTAGCGCCACACTCGATTTATTGCCAATTTCAGAGGCTAAATCTTACAAAATCTTACCTCTTAACGGGTTTCCACATGCTCTTAAAGAACGACCCGACTTTCTTCAATGTATTTCTATCTTTGGAATGGCCAGGATTATCTTGCACGCAATCTTCGTGCTCTGCCGGGTCTTCGTTCTCTTTGGTGCTTCGTGGAGGAATCACGCTCTCTCTATTGTTCACTCCTTCATCTTCCACATCTTCGACCAATCTCTCACTAAGCAAGGAAAGAAATACAATAAATATATAATTTTGGAATTGAATTACGATGAATATTTATAAATTGTAACACTTGGAAAACATTTTCTTTAATTTCTTGCCCTGATGGGAAACCATCAGGGCAAGAAACTATTAAACTTATTGCTATTTATCGAAAAATTAAAACGATGATTCCTCGTATTTCTCAGAATAACCCTCGTTAAACAGCTCGTACATATAATATACAGTCGACACCTCTATAACACTGTTGATTTTTCCATTTTATATGAATTCCATGTTGTACGAGTCACTTAGATTTTACAAACACGTGTGCTGGACTGTGAACAGCTCATGTATTTGTAAAATCTAAGTGACTCGTACAACATGGAATTCATATAAAATGAAATTATAAACAGTGTTATAGGGGGGTCAACTGTACACAAGTTTATTACATACAAACAGTAATGTAATTTACCTGTTAAAACGTTGACAGGCCGTCTGACAGATTGGTCGAACTTTCATCACAGCTTTTCTATAAGCAGGCTTGATGTTATTTTCAAAAACGTCCAAACCTTCGAAAGTACCGGTCGAGGGTTCGTACTGCTTCGAGAGGCCTTTCTTCAGCTTTCTGCCTCGAAACTTAACATAATCCAAATTTTGTGGACTGACGAATCTTCGCACATCCACATCCAATCCCTCCCTAAATATGGAAAGAGAAAATTCACAATACAATAACTATTTAATTCTACTCGCAAACTATTGATACATTAGATCTCCGTGCTTTTAAGTTTATTCGACAGAAGGAAAGGGCCTTTTATAAATCTACTAGTCTAAATCTTTTTCTGTTATTTTAAAAAAAGACATATTGAATATTATATTGAACATATTGAAACGAAATTGGGTTTAAAATTTTAGTAAATTTCGTCATATTAACGACATAATCCGTGATATAAAAGAGACCCGATTACTCGTTTAAACAACAGTAAATTGAAAAGCACTAAATTATCTTCTTAACACCAGGCCCCGAACTGTGCCTTATAAAGCCCTCTACTGAAATACAGGAAGACACAAAAATCGTAAAGTCTCAATCTTTACATTTAATCTAATTAGGCCTAATTATATATTGTAGATGGAAGTTTTTCTTTAAAGCCTTTAATTGCTAAAACCAATTTCTTATCCGAATAAATAGTAATGAAATGTAAAAAAATCTCTTACCCAGGAGGATGGGGCAGGGGTCGATACTCTCTACCATCAAAAAACATCTTCGAATCGCTTTCCAAATCGCACTCTTCGTCCAAGAGCAAAACTACGCAACAACAACAACATCAATTGTTGAATTCGTTTGTTACGCGTTAAAAAAAGCGGGAATTTAATAAGAATTTTGGATTTTTTTTATAATTTCAGAATCTGACGCGTGTATAATAAAGATTAAAAAGCCACGTCACACCGGTGTGGGGATAGGGGTTAGAATAAAGACGGTTCGAAAAATGCACGTGGTGGTGCTGACGTGATGGCGGCACGAAATACAAACGTGTAAATATAGACATTTTGCGTTAACCAAGACCTTACACGGGAATATAAAACGAAATTAAAGCAAATACTTGGCGAAAATACAACAACAACTTGATATTTATACCGTAATATCGGGAGAGATGGTTATTTAATGGCCATTTCTAGAAATGATTCCATATACATAATTATAAAACAAAGCGTGTATTGTAACGTGAATCTGATGAATCACACCCGCCGAATAACTATTTAGTCGGCAACTTGAATATTAATTAAACTGATGCTTAATGTCACCAGGAAAGTCGTGCTAAAATTCCTTTATTTCCCTCCAAGTTTTTATACGCTTAATTTAATAGAAAATCGGCTGAACATTTGTGAAGTTGTGGCAAATCTTTCTCACCAGAAGTGTTTGAATTTATAACTCTAACCATACGTTAATTTTGCTATTGCAAGCGAAGACAGGTGCACTGGTTTTAAAGCAATAATCGCATTGTCTAAGATACACTTCTCGTTAGCCCTGTTATTCCATTTGGCTCCTATTTTTGATTAAGGGAGCCAGTGCCAAATCCTTAACTACGTCGTCAAAATCGAATTTTTCGCATATTTGTGTTGTATGGACAATAGATTCGGGAAGGTATTCACACATTGTAATAGAGTCTCATTAGTTATATCAATGTAGTGTAGACACGAAATATTTGAATTTCATCTTATGAATAGTCACCTTTATATCCCGATTATATTCGTTATTCGATGCTAAATCTAAATGCATAAATGATTCATAAGATCGTCCTCGTCTTTAATATAGAAATGTTGCGAAGGCAACCAAAAATGGCCCTTTGTTCTTCAAAAACTACAGATTATCCCTTGGTATATTATTGCTAAAAACAATAGTTCCTATGGAACTGTGTTTCGGGATTATTTGTACGCGTATCCGTTTCTTCGTAATCAAATAAACGTTCTCGTTTTCTCCATCCCAATAAAAGAAGAATTTTTTTACCATATTCTGCGTTATAAATACTTAAACGTGATACAAGGAAGCTACTGTGGTTTAATGCATTTCCCGTGAGCACAACGTCACATTACCGCGAAAACTTTAAAAACCAAAAAACTAGACTCCTGAAGGGCGGGCTACCTTTAGACACTTAACCCGTTGCCCGGCTCTAACGACAGCACCAAACAAAGCCAAACGTTTCCATTGATTCCAATGTAAAAGTGGACGGTACGCACACATTAGCAGATGCAGTGCCAGCAATTTTAGGGGTTTCTCCCATTGCGTGATGTAAAAATCAATAATAGTCTGTGGGGGCAAGATATTTTTTACTAAATTTGAAGCTTAATATCTTCTGAGAATTTTAAAAATTTCTGAACTTTTGCCGTTAGATTTTTTATTTCGACATTTGCTTTTGATATGTTTAAGAAAATGAGAACACTGAATAAGGAGGAATGGCTGCATCGTATCTTTTGAACCAACCCAAAGACGTAAATTATAAATGATGGAAAAAATAAAGAATGCCTGAAAAGTCCGGAAATAATGTTTGCACTTTTTGACTTTTGATGTGCAATTGAAAATTGTTCTTCGGTTCCAATCGACACAAACGGTTTTCGCAATACAACAATAACAGAAGGACGAAAGTATCCAGTGCCGTAACTAGGCAGGTGCACCTGCACAGGGCCCACTTGGAAGAGGGGCCCAAAATGCAAGTATTTGTTTTATTACTTTCCCAAACCTATTTAATTAAGGGGCCTAAATGCAAATTCCTGCACAGGGCACAGGAATGGCTAGTTACGGCACTGCTAATTACATTTAACTAATTAATAGTGATATACTAATATACTATACTAATAATGTATTTTTTCATATTTTTCGGTTATCCGTTTTTTCAGTTATCCGATCAACCCCAGTCCCTAATTGAGTCGGATAATCGATGCTCTACTGTAATAACTTCGTCAAAATCACGTGCTTTATTTGAACGCGAGCTTTCCTTACCACGTGATCTATAATTACGTAGGCCTACTCTGCATTTTCAAAAATTTTAAAATTTCATTGGTTAAAATTCTATACCGTGTTGCGCGTGCAGATAACCCGAACATGTATAATCAGCCTAGTAGAATCACTAGGCTGATTATACATGTTCTCTATATCACTAGGCTATAATCAGCCTAGTATAATCACCTAGTAGAATCACGTCAACAACAAAGACAAGTGACCAGAATCGCCACTGTCTCTGAGACGAAATTCGTCTCTCGTTTTGACGTCATTCGTCTTTGAAAGAAGATACGAGAAATTAGTGACCAGAATACGGCCCCAGTTCTTATAAAAGACCTCCCGGGAGGCATTCCCTTGGCAGATCGCGTTGCCATAAACGAATAAAATAAAATAAAAACGAACAATTATTTATTGTGACATGATCACAATGCCGGATTGCAATTTTAATCATATTTTTAAACTTTATTTAATTTAAAATATATGCACTCCACTTCAAATTAGTAGTATCTCGCCCCTGTACTGTCCTTAGTATTTTATAAATGCATTTCGGCAACTTTTCAATTATTTTTTATATAAATACATTTATACAATACTGAAGACAGTGCATATGGCAATTTTACAATTAAAATTTACAATCAAATTATACAATAAATAACAAAAGTGTAATTTAGTGGCTATTAAGTTTATAAAAATGATAAATCTGCCTTAATATTTTACAGTTATTATTGGCATTCAAACATCCATCATAACCATAAAAATCACAAATTTGCCGTGTAAATTTCTTCCTAACGAGGTTCCCGTTGTTGTTACTTTAATATTTGCATTTCTGCTCAGTCCTTGTTATAATCCATCGTTCTGTACTATTATATAATAGATATTCACCATACAATAGCTAGTACATAAAGATCATACAAGGGAAATGTTCTCCGTCTTTTGTCTACTTAATTGTAAATATATGATTAATGATCGTAACTAATGGGATTAAATGTTTTGTTTGTTTACCACAGATGAGTGATTACATCTTATTTTGCAGCGATTTTTCGGAATAATTCGATCGACAATGCAGTGGAGGGAATACGCATATCACAACTCTGCCATTTTTATACCTGTGTAGGTTAATGTCTGTATATTCGTTGGTTGAGTCACCGAAGCGAGTCTCAGTTCGGTTCTATGAAACCGGTATGCTTTTTAAATTGAAAGTTTCAATTATTCACGTCCAAACAATTAGTGCCAGGGGCTGGAGCAACGTCTGATTTTACTTTTGGACACTTCAGAATGAATTGAACAAGGGCATCTTGATAAGCATGATTATACCTCTGCTGAAGACAAGGAATGTATTCTGTATTTTCTGAGCGGTTTTATGGCAAGAAGATTAATAAATGGAACATGTGAAACATGTTTTCGATCTATGATCAATGAATACTCTCAAGTTCAGTGGAGCGTTTTCCTATAGGCAAAAAGGGTAATTGCCTAGGGCCCCACCAATAGGAACCACCAAACTAATCTTTTATAAGGAAATATTGCTCCTATAACAATCCTCAAAGAAAAATGTTGAAGTCAATACTTTTTTAAACTCTCTCCGTCCTGTAGGCACTAAGAGGATCTCGTTCTTCATCAATCGGGCAGCCGGTTGATGAAGAACGGGGCCTGACATGAACAGACGGACCATCCCGTGAAAAATTCTTGGGATCGAATCCAGACGGGTCGAAAAATCCCCGAGTCCCCAGAGCGGCAAACTGCCACCTTGACCGCTTGGCACTGTATATAGGGCCTCCTAATTCCTGGGCATTCGCCTGGGTCCCATAAAGCTATAACGCGCCATTGATTACGCTGCCAGAAGTGCATTAACAGATATCAAGTCAAAGGGATTTTTTTATGTCATCCAACAGAGGCATTACAAATATTGCTTGTTTTTAAAATCCATTATTTCAAAGTCTTTGTGTAATTTACAAGAGACAAACGTGTACGTTATGATAACCAATGAAGTTTTGAATAGCCTAAACAGTTTGCAAATTGGTCGTGAACTCACTTCAAACTAAGGGCTGAAATTATTCACTTCTACATCACTTACAGGCTTCATTTTTTACAAGATGAAAAAATCTTGTTCAAGGATTGAAAGTTCAAT